ATAATAATAATAATAATAATAATAATAATAATAATAATGGAAAGTTGTTATATAGCGCATTTATACAACGTCTCAACGCCGTAATAGACCTTTGAACCGATGCATCCTATGTAGCTTATGCCTGCATTTATTATTGCGGTCGCTTACGTGTCCTTAATGGTTAGGTCAGGGAACATCTCTGGTTATGTTTAGGGATAGGTCTGGGCTTATATTTAGTGTTATATCATGTTCAATATGTTTTTTTGTTTCTTCGTATCACTTTTTTGATATCGGTGTGTTCATACACCAAGTATTGCTAGGCTCCCAGCTTCAGTTTCAGCAATGACGGGAATATTAATTCCGACTCAAGGTCTAAACGATGAATAAATTAATTTTACATTAGTGCTGACCGAATAAGTCCCTCAACAGCCATGCAGCACTCCCACCAACTGAGTATTTTATTCCTTTTCGTAGCAGCTGAGCATTTTGAACCAAATTTTTTAGTATTTTTCTATAAAGGAAAATCAACGTAAATCTACTATGAAAAAGAGGTATAGCAAGGAAGATTCAGGCAGTGCGTTTCTATGGATGCTGTTGTTGGATTAATAGACCATTTTCCCGATTTCGCTTGGATGACCACGAAACAATGGTTTGAAGTCAAGACTGAACTTGATTCTTTTATTCATCAAGTTCAACCTCGACTTGAAACCATTGCTTCGTGACCAGTCAAACGAATTCGGGATAGGTCTATTAAATGCTTTTTTAATGTTTTCCGTTGTGTTGACGGAAGAAAATCAATTAGCCCCCACCCTTCCGCCCTAACATTTTGGCTGGATCCGCCCTTGCTAACCTCGATTTGAAACCATTGTTTCGTGATTAGTCAAACGAATTCGGGGAAAGGTCTGTTCAGTTCCTGTAGAACTATGAATAGAACTTTTACGAAGCAAGCGAAGCTATTGAAACTAAAGTCGAGGTTTCATTCCCTAGGCTTTAAATCAAAGGAGAGACATATCAAACTAAACTCACATGAGTATCTTTTCATCTTCAGGTTAAAACCTAAATTCAATTGAAGATTTAAAATGACCGGGAAAAAGGTGGAAGGGATTTTAATGAAGATCGGCAGTTTTGGGCTGTATCAGCTGAAGGTGTTTGCTTTAATGTCGTATGCAGTCGTGTTCTGTAGCTTTGTCTTGATGGTTATGACATTCAGTACTGCAGAACCTCCATGGAGGTGTGCGGCAAATACTACCTCCTGTACCTTGAATGGAACATTCAAAGCAGGAGATAAAGACTACAGCCATCGATGTGGTATTCCAAGAAAGGACTGGGAGTTTGCTGTGGATGGTGACTTTGATTCTATCGTCACTGAGGTATTATAAAATACAATTGGCACTGTTGCTTGCAACTCACTTCACAATATTGTTGCATGGCTTTGATTCTATTGTCTCTGAGGTATAGGATATGCTTTTTTTTTTTTTTTTTTTTTTTTCCTTAAGAAAGAAACCTTGAAATCTGGTTTTCATTGTGACTGAAACGATCCTATTCTATTTCCAAAACAAGCTAGGTTTAAAATTGAGACCTAACCAACTTTTTAAATTGTGCTTTAACCTTAATTAAAGACAGTGGGATCATTGCTTAGTGTAATACTGCACCGCTTTTTGAAGTATCGAGATGAAATGATGATGGCTAATAATCGCTAATAGGTATCTTAAACAAGTGTTTTTAACTCAAATGTTCGGTTTTTTTCTTTTTTGAATTCTTATTTCACAGTGGGACTTGGTTTGTGATATCGCCGTCTACTCAAGCATCGCCAATTCCCTTTTGTTCATATTATGGATATTTGGCGCCATGCTAGCCAGTATCCTGAGCGACAAATTTGGCAGAAAACCAGTTGTCTTCCCATTTACAATTCTCGCATGTGCTTGTGGATTCATCTCTGCCTTTGCGCAGAAGTACTGGGTATTTGCCTTGTTCAGAGCCCTAGCAGGAATTGGAATAGGTAAGTGTGATAGTGAAATGAACTTATTCTTCGTTTGTACGTTACGTAATCGCGGCCATGTTGGTACCATTTAACAAAAACATTTCTCATTAGCATCCATTCTTAACGGTACCACAATGGCCGCCATATTTTTTTCCTTTAAACTCTCTTGGGAACGCTTGCCACCCATCAATTGCTATGTTTTCCAGAAATAACTATTTCATTTATGGCTTGAAATCATTCCCGGCCAAGGGAGTCAAGACGGAGATGGTGCCTACGTTTGTTATGGCATAATATCTTTTGTTATACATGTACCATTAACAAGCGACGATTATAATTAGCATTTAGCTAGAAGCTAGAGAGGGATAGATAAGTAGATAGCACCTTTATTTGAGTACGATAATTTCATAAGTATGTAACACTTCTTTACACGAGAGTCGTACAATAAAAATCCTATTTACAAACAATGTGTGAAAGATTTAAAAAGAAACTAAGATAAACTAACTATTTAAAACACATAAATAAAAAATTCAACCAGCTTTATTCTTATTCCCTTTTGTAATATTCAGAACATTCTTGCGTATAGAGAATCTAGATATTTATAATAGGCTTTATTTGGTCGACTACACTAAATACTTAAGAGAATGTTTACAAAATGTTCATTCATCTTTAGGGGGATATTCTATTTGTGCTTTCGTATTGGTCGTGGAATATGTTGGCGTTCGTCATCGAAGCCTCATTGGCATTGGGATATGGGCTGGGTGGATCTTCTCCTTGTGCGTGTTAGCTTTACTTGGGTACCTCGTTCAGAGCTGGCGTACACTGACTATTATCACAAGTGCACCAGGGCTTGTCTTCTTTATATTTTGGTGGTAAGTAATACTAAATATGATCTTAGAGTTCACTTGGCAGCCTAACGGAGAAAGATCGTTTGTACCGGGCTCTTCGGGCTCGTGACCGAGTGGATATCCTTTCGAATTTCGTTTCGTTTGCATTGTGGACCATCATATATACAAGAAAGAATATTTTTCAGCTTTCTTTTCCAAGGTTTACACCAGAATCTCTTCGATGGCTGCTCGTGAGAGGGAAGAACGAGGAAGCAAAGAAGATTTTAAAAACCGCGGCTAGAGTCAATAAAAAAGTCCTGACAGATAACGATTTGGCTTCACTGGAAGACGAGGATAAAAAAACTGACGAGAGACTCGGTGATGTTAGAGACCTGTTTGCTTCTCGTACTCTGACACACAGAACACTGGTTTCCTGGTATTGCTGGTAAGTACCACTGAATTTAAACATGGAGAATTCTTGCAAGATAAACAGCAAGTTTTCAATAGTAAGTTACTCAGATGGTTGCGTAAAGATGACTGTGGTTCTCTTGCTGGGTTTTTGTAGCCGATGCTCCCATCCCATTCAAAATTGTAACAATTTCAAAAAACGATACGGGTCAAACGTGGCAAAACAAGCCTAGATGAAATTGAACGTGCCAAATACTTTGCCTAGAAAATGTTCACTAACAATTATTGCTTATATATTGTTTTAAGGTTTGTAAGCGGTTTAGTCTACTATGGCATCTCGCTCAGTGCACCAACCGTTGGCGGCAACATGTACTTGAATTTCTTCATTTCCACTGTCTGCGAGGCAGTGGGCATGGCAATAGCAATTCCATTGCTAAACAAGTAAGTACAATCGATCCGTGCAGCTTGCGGAGTAATTTTGATCTCGATGATATGACTCCCTAATCTGGATATTACTTTTGTCTTATTCTATCATACAAGAGAATATGAAAGCTTATTTAATAATCTCTTGTATCATATAAAACATAAACACTCCTTTCTGCCACCTCTTTCTCTTTTACTCCAACGAAGGACTAGCGTCCGAAACGTCAGTAAGTTTTTTCATCTTTTCACGGTGTATAATTTACCTTTTTATCATTACTGTTTCATTAGAAACACCGACGCAGCTCACACTAGTTTTTATCTAGTTATCTCCGGCTGGATATTACTGAGTAAGAAGGCAAAGCCTCAACTAATAATTTTGACTATAAGAGAAATGTCATTCAATATAAGAATCGAAAATGTTATAAGGATTCGTATAAGGGAAAATTTATTGATAAGTAAGCACTTGTCAAATTGTACCTCCTGCACCTTCTGCAAAAGCTAGAACGTATTGCTTAAAGTATAGCTAATATCAGAGTGGTGCCAAGTTACTGAAGATTATGTCGTTATGTTTCGGTCTTAGAATTGGAAGAAAAAAGTCAATTGTCGCCTCTTTGTGGCTGGCTGGCTTATCCACTGTTGTCGCTGCACTGTTAAATTTTTATGACGATGGAGGCAAAGGTAAAACTGCATAAATTGACATAATAAATTTTGGTAATTGGTAATAAATTAATTAAAGTTAAAGCCATGTCTTTATAATCGGAAGAAAAGCTAACCAATTCCCTAACAATTGCATTCTCGCAGGTTATCTGGCGGGCAAAATCCTGACTGCCATGGTGTTGGGCAAGTTCTTCATCACTATTGTCTTTGATGGCGTCTATGTCTACTCTTCGGAACTTTTCCCGACTGTTGTGAGGTATAAAAGAATACAACACGAATGCTGCAGCTCGAGTAATACCGCAGCTTAGAGTAAACGTAGCATAAAACCCCTTGATTTTATCGAACCCTGAAACAACAGTGCATGGCAGTAAACTCACAGATCGTATCGGAAATTCAGCGTGTTAGGTTTCCCAAGCGGGGGGATCGAAGAACCCGAAGAAAAACTATACTCAGTCTGATACAGAGTCCAGGGATCCAACCAGATCCCGAAAGGCGACAAGCGAGTCACTACCGCTTCAAATTAGACATCGATGGCTGTGACTATCCATATAAAACTAAGACTATCCGTACGAACTAATGTTAGCGCTTTTTGTCCGTTAGGAACACAGCTATGGGGACATCAACTTCTGCAGCTCGTGTAGGGTCAGCTATCGCTCCATACGTGGTCTTCTCGGTAAGAGATGCATGACCTTTTATAAAGTAATTAGTATCGGTAGCATGTGGATTGTGGCAATAGAATGACCCGTTGTCGTAAAGCCTGTCCATCAATGACGTGCGACGCCATCACTGCTGTAGAGAGTACAATAAATTGTGTATGGCATTGTGCGCGGTGCAAGTTGCATTGTGCGTAGCTGTATGTTGTGAGGTTAAGTGTATAACGCATTGTGCAGAGTGCATAAGTGGCGTCCTATGTTGCTGGGTGGAGTGCAAATTAAAATTTGTAGATTGCACATTGCAATATTGGTGTTCTATGTACTTGGTGGAGCGCATAGCGGATTATGCAAGATGCATATTTCATCAGTTGCAGGGTACATCTTATGGGGCAAATATGGTGCAAGGCGCGGTGTGGAGTGGCCGGGTTGATGAGAAACTTGGGGAGGCAGCTTGGCATATTGATGATCCATGGTGTAGAATACAAGGTTTAAATTATATGGATTACGCAGTGTGTAAACTTGCGGCACATTCAAGTTCAAGTTCAAGTTTATTTACAAAAGAATGTCAATATTTGCGCAATTTATCACCCTCCCGCAAACAGCACTAAAGTAATCAAAATACGGTCTTCCCAAAACTAATATTATGTTAACCATTCATTTCTAGGAAAGAGCTCATACATTGATGCCTTTTGGTATAATGGCAATCAATGCATTGATCTGTGGAATACTGTGCTTGACTTTACCAGAGACTAACAAAGTAGCCATGCCCGACACCGTCCAACAAGTGCAAATGAATAACGACTCTATTGGCGCGTATGACGAGAAGTTGAATCTAAATGAACAACAACTTTAGAGGTCATGCCAGGTAACGACAGACACCAGATGATTCCATAGCTCATCATGAATTCCATGGAATGGCGCTGACTGAGTTGAAACCGGGATGAAAGGCTTCATGGCTAATGATCTACTAGCAATCTTCTAGTGATCTAAATAATGTTACAGCCTTTTTTTAAGTCGTTTAGTCTTTTCAGACACTCTTATTAGAATTTTGTTAGGATAAGTTTGTTGCACATTGTCTAGAATATTCTTCCAATATGGTGATATAGAATGTTGAAAATATAGGGTAGTTTAAAACAAGATAATGCAACGGTGTAATTTTGTGCATTTTGCTAAACAAAATAGATGTGTTCATGGAAAGTCATACAAATTGAGTCAAATCAATAATTAACAGTTATTCCAAGAACTCGAGTCGTACATTGTTTTTAAATTTGTTTTAGTCATCTTAGTTATGTATTAGTTAAATTTAGAAATGCGTTTCAGCTAGTCCTAGTTTTAATAAATAACGATTTGCTTTATCGAATGTTTTTTTCATTTTTATTTTTTTGCCTTTTCACGAATTTCTTTTCGCGAGAAAAGTATAGACATTTCCAATATCAAAGTACTCACAAACTAGCCTTCTTACCACCAGATACGTTTTAGCCATTAATAGCTTCCTTGGTGTGTTTTTTGCTTTTTTTTTCTCTCAGAAAATTGAGCAAATTGGTCGGCGGCCATTTCGAATTTTCTCTACTAATGGTACTGAAGAGCTACTTTGAATCATAAGCAAGATCATATTACTCCTATCTCGTCAGTACGACTTACATTGGTTGCCAGTGGAACAGCGAATTATTTTCAAAATCGTTTTGCTTACCTTTAAAGCTCTGAAAAAATAACTCCCTCTTACTTAAGGGATCTTGTCAAGCCTTATGTTCCCGCTTGAGTTCTTGGGAAAACAAAACTATTTCCCTCGCGACCAGACATAATAAACTATCATTTTTAGTTTACAACTGTGCATGCACTCTACGTTTTCCTTCCATAATGATGATGATGATGATAGTGAACAAAACTAGCCCCTGGGGGTGGTGGTAAGTTGTGTACAAAATTCCTAAGTGGGAGAGTATACTCGCGCAAAAAAAAAAATTAAAAAAAAAAATATGTAGTGCAGTTTGATTTGATTTCACTGCATGGTTTTTATTATGGGAGAAATTATCATTTCGAATAAAAAATAATTGAAGATTTTTTCCCCGATCTTGTTTTTACCTTTTAGTTTCATTCAAATTATTCTCCCTGTGACTTCCGCATCGGGAGCTCCGCTTTTAGTCAGTGCCTAAATATATATATTATCTATAGGGGGAGAGGTGGTCTCAGTCTTCACTGCGTATCCGCGTATCCAAACATTTAAAGGAATGGTGTGAAGTCCTGGGGATTCGATAGTTCTACCGTTTTGGATATCGATCCTAAATAGCAAATGTATACGGCCATATATACGGTATATACCCTCGACCACTTGACGACCATAATAACCAGTTTCGGTCAATACGAAAGTAGAAACCCTGAATATGACAGGAATTCAAAACTAAGGAAGAACTTGGAACTTGAGTGAAATTGCATACTCTGTTTTTGACAAGAAGCTCGAAAAACCATACCCTGTTCAACGGATCATCCCCGTATATAGTCCATATATGGGAGTACCCAACCCCGGGCCATAGATACGGACCACCGATAGTCCAGTCCCGGACTTTCTTTTGGTCCGCTCCTACCGGATAGAGAGTCCCGTACTGGATTAAGACTGGAGAGTGAGCAGTAACTTTCAAAATTCCATATGAATGTCATCTGATCCCATTGTTCCATACGTAAGAAATAGAATCTGTTACGTCATATCCTATGCGTGTTTAGACTGAAAAGACTAAAAACAAAAGTCGTTCGTACAAGAGCAATGTTCTTCGCGTCTCTATTTCTAAACCTGATTTATTTAGTTTCTTTTGTAACCATTAACTGTGTTGGTCAAGACCAATTCACTATTATACGAAGCTCAGCCGGCAGTCGAAAGGATCTGTTCTTAGTTCCAAGATGTAGCTCATCGTCTTTGACATGCTCGGCGTTGTACTCCGGCGCTACAAATCATGACCCTACTCAATGCAAGTGTGCTTGTAGGCATGAATATTCCACGTTTGGCTATTACAATGGAACATGGATTTGTATGAGTAACAGGAAAATCAGACAACAACCAGGTTTGATATAAAACTAATCATTAATTATCATTTTTGATCTTCGTGATCCATATAGCTTTCGATTCTAAAATCTCTTTCCAAAAGAGCCAGAAAATGCTTCAAAGGAATTCACTTAAAAATTCATCGAATATCTAAACTTCTAGATCGAATTCAGTGTAAGAAAATTATACTGGTGATATAAAATATTGTAAATATTTAAATTCCAAATACGTTTTCCATCAAATTTATAATTGATTTAGCGGCCAACAAAAGATCGTCGTTGACATTTGATCGTTTTTGCGGTGAACGTAAATCCGCCAGCAGTATGTGGTTTCTTTTTTAAGATTAAACATGTGCTCTTATGACATATTGAGCCGAGTAAGCAGCTAGAAAACCCTTCAGATCTGATGGGAGATTTCTAGTCGTTTGATAAGCTGCTCGCTTGCCACAATAGGGCTCAAAATCATGCCTAAAAATAACCTCTTCGCCTAAAGAAAGGAACTGGAAAAAGGATGGCACTCACCAATAAATATTCTTAAATGTTCTTGATTTTTCCTGTCAAAAAATTATTCAATTGTTAACTGATTAACTCGATTTAGAAATTATCATGAATCTTAATTAAATTAGCTGTTACTCATAAAAACAAAAAAGAACGAAACTACTAAACGGAAGTCACCAATTTTTACTTTAAATTTTTGTTCGACGAAATATTTTCTTTTTAAATAAATTTTTAATGATTGGAATGGAAATGATAATTAACTAAGCAAGAAAATAGTCAGTTCCTTTTACTTTGAATTCTTAGGAAGGTAGAATTTTGTTGATGACTTTTTTCCGGTTAATCATCACGCGCCGGTATAGCTCTAAGGACACGTGGATTTCCTGAAGGACGTCTTTTCGCCAGTCCACTTTATCCGAAGTCATCACCTTCAGAAAGCTTTGCCTGTACTGCCCACATTTATTTTTATTCTTTTTATTAATATTATGCTGTATTTGTGGCAATCAGTAGAAGATATATATATCAAGCAATGGAAGGCTTTGAAACTGTTCTAAAAATGTTTTCAAAACGTTCAAACTGAAATTTCGATCGGTTAGCTCTATAACCTTCATCATCATCATCATCATCATCATCATCATCATCATCATCATCATCGCTACCATCATCATTATCGTCATCATTATCATATCATCATCATCATCATCATCATCATTATTATTATTATTATTATTATTATTATTATCAGGTTGCCAATTCCTGTTTGATGGAGAGGCTGACTACAATCCTCTTAGAGTTTTATCAACTGGATCTGCCCATCAAGTAATGTTTCCTTCGATCGACTGTACGATCGACCAGTCAGCCTCGCGCTACCGAAAGTGTGATGGTACATGGACTACAATCAGCGTTCAATCGAACATATTTTGGTTTTTGCCGCTAACGGAGACTCTTGGTTATAGACAATACAGATATACCATGAAGGTAGGGTACCAACTGTAAAATCCGCTATATAAAACTCCAAACAAATACTACATGATGTAGACCTCGTTATGCGAAAAATTATGGGGTTGAGTTGGGAAGTTTCTTTACCACCTTACAATATTCTAAGAAAACTTTAAGTGATCGTGCTTTCTCGCCCGCCGCGCCTAAATTTTGGAACAATCATTCCTATTGAAATTAGGAGTTCCAGTACTATTTTATCTTTTCAAATATCAGCCTAAGACATTCTTATTTACGAATTCTTTTTATTGATATTATTCTTATTTGTATGTATATAATTAGTTTTTACTTTTATATATATATATATATATATATATTTATATATTAGGATTTAGTTTATTATCTGTGAAGTGCATTTGAGTACGTATGTGGAATATATGCGCAATACAAAATAAAGTTGTTATTATTGTTATTATTATTATTATTATCATTATTATTTAGATTGCTAATGGTTATATTTTATATTGAATAGTTTATTCATTTAATTAATAAGAATATTTATGAGATTATTTTTTTTAGATTATTACTTTAGAATATTAAAAAAGAATAGAAAAAATAAACATTATTATTATTATTATCATTATTATTATTATTATTATTATTATTATTATTTAGTCCCATGACCATGTGCGCTACTACAAGACTTTGTTTTCTAGGAACTGATGTATTTTTAGATCACAAAAAGAAAGCACGTAGGTTAAGTGTACTCCAGCCAATTTCCAATTTGCCCTACATTTTTTTCTGTTGATTTGGAAAAAAAGCTTTGTCTTGCATTAGTTAAGAGCCTCTTTCTGCTTCCTTAAGCCATACGGATTTATCAGGGATTTTCAGCGAGTTACCTGCCTTTCCTACGTTTTCCATTTTAAAATAATTCTGTATAAGTTACTGATTAAATAATCATAATTATTAATTATTATTAGTTGTATTATCGAATAGAAACCTCTTAAGTTACAGAATGCACCCAAGAGTTAGGTATCATATCTAGATCTGTGATATCATTAGATTGTAAAAGTGTTGATAACCAAAACTGATTGCTTTTATTGCAGGTTGGAGCAGTAGCCTCGTTAGCAGGGAGGATCGTTAGTCTAAAAGTCAATTGCGCAAGACCTTCTAAATCGTCCTGTGTTCTATTCAAGGTAGCTGGACAAATCAAATGTACGTATTATGTCAGAACGATATTGAATGCTTTTAGTTGAGAGGGAATTAATAATGAAACGTTATTATTAATATTATACCGAGTGTATGGATCAGTTTGGAATGCCCCACCCTTTGCCCTCGGACTGCACATGCTTACCACACTTCAACCCTTGAGAATCAAATATGTATTCAACAAACTAAGAGATCAGAATTTAAGTAAAGCAAAAGGGTATGGTTTTCCTCTTACTGACCATGTGTTATTCCCTTTTATTATATAATTACCTATGAAATATCTATTTTTCTCTATTTCGAAAATTGATATCTTCACACGTGAAAATAACACCATTGCGATGGCTATTCAAAAATACACGGAAAGAATTGCCTGAAAAAGCCAAAACATACTTCATTGATAATTATATAATAAACAAAATATTACATGGGAGCTTGGAGATACGCAATTTATCTTCTCGTGTTGAAAATCTCTCACTCGTTCGGTGCGCTCACTCGTGAGAGATCTTTTCAACACTCGAAGATAAATTTCGTATCTCCGCGCGCCCATGTAATATCCTCTATTTGTCTTTTCTTTATTCTACCGTTTGCGAAGTTACATAACTTTTATATGGATGTCTCTAACGAAGTTCTATACTTCTGATAAATTATTTGACTGATTTTTTCAATTATTGTACGACTTAAATCTTGACAATATCTTTTACAATGATTCTTTAGGTCCCGTTGATATAGTGAGATTCTCGTCAACTCAGACCTCTACGTTTACAGTTACGAATCCATCGACCACACAGTCATTTTCTTCCGACGCATCAACCATAAACAGTTCAACTGAGGTAAAAAAATTACATCATCTGTGATTGTGTTGCTTTTTGAAATTGCTATATAATACTGACAAATAATTCAAATGAGACAAGAGAGACAAAGAAAAATCTAACATGAGGTTGACTGTCGTCTTTCTGTCGAGTTAACGTTAAACCTAAAAACCGCGCAAAAGAATACTTGTCAACTTAATATTCCAACGTACAATTCTGAAACATTTGTAACTTGAAAATGTTCGTACAAATGTAATCTAAGATGAACAATTTTAGTAGCATGAAAAGCTACATCACTATGACATTAGTCACAATTCTCTTTAATTAACAATGTTCATACCATGTTTTCTAGGCACCAGGTCTCGAGAAAGGAGCATCAAACAGTGGTGAAAAAGGCAGATCATCAGGGACAGTCGCAGCTGTCATCGTCATCATCCTGGTCATCATAGTGGTAGCGGTCGTTGGATTTGTCTTTTGGAAAAGAAGAAGGTAACGTAATAGCCATGACTGCAAAGTCATATATTATAATTGGTCATTAAGGGGCAAGCAAGGTCAAAACAGTGGTCCAAAATAGGGATCCGATTTGATTGATAATAGTCGTGACTAACTGTAAAAGAGTCATGCATTATAATGGACCATGAAGGAGCAGGCAAGGTCAAAATACTGGTCCAAAATAGGGACCTTATTTGATTGATAATAGTCATGACTGTAAAAGAGGCATGCCTTATAATGGACCATGAAGGGGCAGGTAAAGTCAAAATACTGGTCCAAAATAGGGACCTTATTTGATTAATAATAGTCATGACTGTAAAAGAGGCATGCCTTATAATGGACCATGAAGGGGCAGGTAAAGTCAAAATAGTGTTCCTAAGTCGGGACCTTATTTGATTAATAATAGTCATGACTGTAAAAGAGTCATGCATTATAATGGACCATGAAGGGGCAGGCAAGTTCAAAACAGTGAGCAAAATAGGGACCTGATTTGATTGATGATAGTCATGACTCTACCTAGTAGTGACTAGGACGAAATTACACTTCCAGCAGTGGTGGGCAACCTCACCTTTCCTCACTAAAATGTGTTTTGTAAGTCGACATGTATTCCTTCTTCTTAACTTATTTATCATTACCATTTTAATGTTTTTTATTTATTTGTTYCTTTTAGGGGTGAAAATATCCTGCTAATGGATCATCTGATTAGCATTGGTATTTTATTTTGATCTCTATCTAATTTATATTACCGACCTGTTGAAAAGACAGGGCAAATGAAATAATGGATGCAATTTATGTAATGATGTGAGCGGGATGGATAGGGGGAGGAATGCAGGTGCTTGTCTTTGCTCTAACACAAGTCCTCGTTGAAATTACGTCCGGGAAGGGAGGAAAGGAAAGAAATAAAGTAATAAAGTAATAGATGAGAACATGTGGACCGCATGGCACTAATGAAATACATGAAGATATAGAAATATAGATAAGTTATAGTGCTTGGGAACGAGGTTATTCCGCGCGAAAGCCCTTGGAATTCAATTCGGAAAAATTAATTTCCGACCTCGCTGGGAATCGAACCCACGACCTTCGGAATTGTACTAATTGTAGAGCATCGGTAGTACAATTCCGAAGGTCGTGGGTTCGATTCCCAGCGAGGTCGGAAATTAATTTTTCCGAATTTAATTCCAAGGGCTTTCGCCCGGAATAACCTCGTTCACAAGCACTATAACTTATCTATATTTCTATATCTTAATAAAGTAATAGTTACCTTTGTTATTGTTAATTACAAACAGCAAGAAAATTTCGATCTCCACCTTCAACAAAGAAAACAGAAGAACCTGAGGAGCAGATCTATGCAGAAATAACAGAACAGCCAGCTGCACAAAGRCTGGTCACATATAGCTCTCCAGCTTATGCAGGTACATGCAGATGCAGTATTTCTGAGGTTCTTTATAGCAGTGGACATTCTTCTTGACGCGGCAGCCATAGCACTTCAGGATAAGTTTAACCAGACGAAAAAGGCCCATCATTTATATGAAGATTGCAGGCTCGCAATTGGCCCCCTTTCGAGTTTCTAGATTACAGACTCATTTGCTCAGGCTAAGCCTCGATTTTGTGAAGAATATTGACGTTTTCCAGTCAAGGTCCGTCAAGTTTCAAAGTGTTCGTATTGTTGAACTTGTRCATTCTTTACTTTACCGTTGGTATTTGCGAGTAATTAGACACTTATGGCTTTAGGCTTAGCCTCAGCAAATGCGTCTGTAATCAAGAATCACAGCGATAATTTGGAACTCGAAAAGGGTCTTTTGCCTAGACTGAGTCGATCATGCCTTATATTAACTTCTGCTTTTCGAATTCCTTTATAGACCCAATCCACCTAAGCATCGATATTATATATTTTTCCATTTAAAGATGTATAACATCCTTCGGCCCGGTGTTTGTCAGAGTTGTATTTATTTTTATGAGTCTACTAGCTGATGCGTAACCATTAAACAAAGAAACGCAACTATAGGAAATGACATGAGGTCTGGAATAGGAAAGCAGTGGATTTGGTTGTTCTGGTTGTGTGGTGTTCATTATCCTATTATAAATCAAATATTTTCATTTTAGAAGTCTACAACTTTGCCTTGAATGACCCAAACTCGGCATACGCAGGTCCAAACCAGCAACACAATAGGAATTTCCCTAAAATACCAGACGAAGCGCCTACCGATGAACGAGGGTACATGGTGCCAGTTGACTCTCCATTTTATAACAGAGTACAAGAGAATGACCATCAGAATACAGACAGTAATGGCAAGAGTAAAAACCTCAATACATTTAGCAAAAGCCAAGATCATCAAAGGTCTACTCATGGAGATGGAGTAGGAAATAATGACGTCGCGCCTTTATATGTCAGTCTTGAAGTTCCTGACGGACAGAATACAAAACATAATGACAGACAGACTTCAGTTTATACTCGACAGCCAAATTCTCCTGATAGGGGTGGGACTGGAAGTAGTTTTTTATCGCCTTCAGCAGTATTAGGAACCGAGGGTTCAGCAGGCGACAACAGATTTGTAGCTAAACAGAGAAGAAGACCCCCAAGCCCGCCAAGAAAGATAAAATAATAAAAAAATAATATTAATTAGAACTAATAACATGATAATATGATAATCAATTAAATGATGAAACATTGCCCATTGCGGCACTATGCATAGTGTAAATAATATTGATGAGTGATAAAATGATGATGAAAAAAGGTTATTATACTGTGTGGGAGTTAATATTTTATTTCATTTTATTTCCCTTCCCCCAATTTCCTATAAAATGACACGAATAGATACAACGATGAGAGAGATTCAAGAAACTATCACAGGCACACATACGAATCTAACCTTAAATCTGAGGAACCCAATGGCCCCTACATTTATTTTATACTCTCGGGAAATACCTGTTGCAAAATATAAAGGAAACCATTCTCGAAATAGTCACACAAGAATTTTTAAAGAAGGTTCAGCCGTCCGTACGTTATGCCAATCATGCATCGTTAGCCAACCATTTCCTTTTTTCACAATGATGAATTATAACTGCAATATTTCAATACAACATGACTTGTTTACTAACATTTCCTTACCTTTTCGCTTTATTTTTTTCTGTTTCTTGCCTTGAGAAGTACTATACCATCAATAGAATTTCAACTCCTTCTTTATCAAACGAAGTGGACGTATTCGACGTTCCTGAGTCTCAATGCCCATCTATATCGCAGTGTTCTAACTACAACAATACGGAGAGTTCGGCAACTGGGCCAGCATGTAAGTGTACCTGTCTATCAAACGCCTCGACGTTTGGTCTTCTAGAAAGATCATGGTCTTGTCTGAAAAACACTGAAATGAGAGCACAGTCAGGTTTGTTTAGGATACAATTTTTTTTCATAAGATAATTCCTTTAATATACTGACTCTTGACACTGTGACGTAGTACAAACTTGACAACAAATGTGAATCTAAATATCAGTTTTTCTTCTGAAGAACTCGTCGAGGGGGATGCTGTTGAAAGTCCCTGAAATGATCAAATTATTCGGCATCACTTGATAAGCTTTTTAACATAAAACATAGTGAGTTCAAGTCGATTCTTATGATGTCATAATTTTACTTTTGTCCTCATTCATCAAGATCGCTAACAATCGATCGATATTGTTCACAAAACGAAATAATCATTCTATGAATTCGTCTCAATTTGTACTTAGATTTTTATTATTTCTGTCATAACATGCTAAAATGAAGAGCAGCGCCAATCGCGATAGCCACTATCTGAGCGTTGATTTTCATATTGTCTATGAGTCAAATCATAAGTCGCCACTGATGTGTCAACTTAAACCGTCAAAGAAACTAAATCAGTAACGACATTTCCAACACAATTTACATGAGCATTTTGAACTATTTTGTTCCGATTTTTAGGCTGCCAATTTATGTTTATACCTGAAAACGATGAAGACCCTTTCAGAATCTTGAAGAAGAATGAGAGTCCATTACCTACAGCAGTTCTGCCATCAAAGCAGTGTTCCATCGACATGCCATCTTCTAAGTACTTCACATGTGACGGTACATGGGCAGAGTTAGATCCTAATGGTACAACGGCCAATCCACTCCGCATATCAGTCAAAAAGAGTCAAATGTCTAATCCTGAACATCACGAGTATTCATTTAAGGTAAATTTATTTGACATTTTATTCAATTAGTTTAAAACATTTCAGTGATCTTTTCTCCTTTACGTAGATCACGAAATTTCGCATAATCAAAAATTTTGCTCACTACCTTCACCCCGTCCTTTCTTCCTTCCTTCCTTCCTTCCTTCCTTCCTTCCTTCCTTCCTTCCTTCCTTGTATGCTCGTTTGCTTGCGCATGTGTGCTTAATTGCTTGCATACTTGCTGGCTTCCTTGTAATGTCCTTGTACAAGTCCCTCAGTTGGTCTATTGGTTCCATTTTTATTCATTTAATAATTTAGTATTTTGTGAGTAATTCAGAAGATTTCGTGTTCCTTTAGGTTATAGATGTTGCTTCACTAAAAGGAAAAATTATCAGCCTGCAGTTTAGGTGTACTCGAAATGGGGGAATGCTTCAGTCATCTTGTCTTGTCTTCAAAATGGAGGGAGCATTCAAATGTAAGTACCCGATTAAATGGAAAGAGACGCCAAAATATAAAACCCAAAATGAAAGAAGCGTCCTTCATCTATGAAACCTTGCCTTCATATTGCAAAATAAAGTATTTTTATATAGCGGATGCACTTATGATTTCTTTTGTTGTATTGGTCCCATGCAGGTCCTGTAAACCTACTCCAATCTTCATCAACTAAGAAGCCAGTGGTAAAACCCACAACGTTTTTATTTAGCTTACCAAAGCCAAGCCACAAGGTTAGAATCCCAAACCAGATAGGAACACACACACTATCCAACCGTTATCATCATGAGTAAGGATGACATTCCCCTTCCCCCCCCCCCCCCCCCCCCCCCCTGCATGATATACAAACTTGGATTCGAGGGGCCCTTTTGCTCTAGTGGTTGTCGTTTGCTATTGCACTGAGGCATGACCTCATCCTGCTTGACAGGAGCAAAAGGTCCTTTGGTGATTCTGACGAGATACTTTTGCAGTGAGTTCTGCTCTAAAACTGACATATATTCACTTTCCGATTAACTAAGACACCAGGTGTAGAGTCTGAGGAAGACGAAGGAAAAGAAGCTTCATCAGGAACGATAGCAGCTGTTGTCGTCATCGTCTTCTTTGCTATACTTCTGGCAGCATTCATTGGCTTTGTAATCTGGAAGAGAAAAAGGTAATAATGCAAAACGAACTGCAACTTCATAGTCTGGCATTGATTCTGTTTCCGGCTATGGTTGACAATTTGAGTGATGCGCCAAAACTTGAAATCGCTTTAGCTCATAATTACTGGGATAAACAGGATAATATATTAAGCAATTAAAAAAATTCGAAACTGATTTCATCTTTATCTTTCTTTGACAGAGGAGAAAATTTGAGGATTATTGAACAACTCGCACGTTTAGGTATGAAGATGTTTGTCGGTTATTTTCGCTAGTTGACCTAAGTCTGTCCTGCGTGTAGTGAATTACATCACGTCATAAGTAGCTCCGTTGACGTTAATCTGCCTGCAACTGGGTTTTGTCCAGTTACATCTGCAGCTACGTTTTTCTTATTCCATTTTCAGTTTGTTTAGCGAATTCCTACCTTTTTGTCATTTTAAAATAAAGATCTTCTATCCTTTGTCAGTGCTAAGAAGGTATTATTTTCTTCAGGAAATGGAAAGCAAGTGGAACCCGACGAAAATATATACGCAGAAGTAGCTCAACAATCACATGTAAGACCAACACAGACAAGGACAGATGTCCTGACCAAAGGTAGGTTTGGTAGCAAATAGCTTTTCCTGGTTCAGTCAACATTTGTGGTGGCCCCTTTTAACAATCGCTACTGTTTGGTTGGTGATGGGGCCATCAAGTACTTGGCTTCCCTAGCTGTGCGAACGTCTCTCGCGCGACAGACAAAACATCAAATTCAACATCTCTGCGATAACTGCAAATTGTGATTGCTGGTCTGGTTAGCGATTCAACCTTTTACTCTAGCTCTGCACAACAGATATTCATGGTAACTTTACCAAGTTTTTTCAAGTTTCAAGTTTATTTTTACAAAAATAATGACTATGTATACACAATTTATCACCCTCCCGCAAATAGCATAAAGCTAATCTAGGCGGGAGGCGATATATTACATTAAATAAATATTAGAAGATTTACAAATAAAATATGACGATAAATAAATGAAAAACTAACAGTTTACTTAAAATAAAGAAACGAAAAGGGGGGAAAAAAGGAGAAAAAGGAAAAAATGATACTAACCAAGTATTGAAAATCAAGAAATAATTATTTATAAATAGTCGCAATATATAAAGACTCAGTCCGAGACGTTCAAAGTATAATGTAGTCTGTCTACAATAGTGGAAGTGTCAACATAGCTATAATTTACCAGCAATCGATCATCATTCTTTAGGTATTTTCACTCCCATTAATGTTTTTGTATCAAATACAGGGATCAACAATGATGGTTTTGGAGACTCCGCGTCAAAACGTTTGCAGCAGTACGATGGTTCTTTGTATGCGGAAGCAGATTTTTTAACCACAAATGAACATTCTGTTGATGATGCTGAGGGATATTTGGTACCTGTAGATTATCCTCTTTACTTAGAACTTCAACCTCCAAAAGAAAGTATACAAGAAGAAAATCCCAAATCTGAGAATGYGTTGCTAAATTCTTTACCTGATGATGCTGAAAGCTTTGATTTGCATTCTTATGAAGTCCTTGACGACCCAAATGATCAGACCACAAATGGTTATGCGGGGACGTCAACCGCTCCTCAAAGTGACACTCCTGAGGAATCGTGTAGTGGTCGTGTTGGGAGTAGCAATGGTAGTCCTACAGCAACAACTAGACCTTCTGCAGCAGGTAATAAAGGACCCGTTGCCAAGGAGAGAAGAAGACCACCGAGCCCACCAAGGAAAGAACATAAGGCTATTTCATCTTCTGATAAAGACAACAAGCATGACAAGTTGAATATACGAACTGATGAACATGGCGCATTAGAGGATAATAGACTTGATAATCATTGCAAATCCAATATGTATGAAAGTCTCAAGGAAGACGAGAGAGTCACCTCAATATATGAAACACTTGATAGAACAAATGACTTAAACAAGTAAAAAATGAACAATTTAACACTGATGATTATTAAATTAGAAAAAGATAATTTAAAATGAGTATTGTTATTGCGTGTAAGTGCAAAAACCTTGATAGATCTAACTATATATACCTCAAAAGGTATAGGCTAAGACCATATGCGAAAAGTGACAGGAGATAGGTCATTCCAAGATACAAGAATAGCTGGAATGACTTGTGTTTCTGCTACTTTTTCGCGTCAAGAACAAGGACCTTAGTGTTGAGACTGATTTATTGTTCTTTGTATTCAATGAAACCATTTAGATGTCGGAATGACCTATCGCCTTTGGGGATGACAACTTTTTTGAAATAAGTGTATGGAAATATGCCAGCAACAAAAGTGTTTCGACAGAATCCAGTGMTTTATTTTGTCATGCTGTTAATGTTGATCAAAAGCACTTTCCATAACTGAGGTTCACTTTTAGGATATAAGTGGAAAAATGATTCGAAGACATGGTACGGTTAAACTAATTAAAACTGAAGTTATTTTGTTATAACTGATTAGTATTATTCAATGACAAATTAAAAGACCTAACTCATTTATCTGTTATGGAAGCAATAGCAATAAAGACACGATGATATATAATATACTACTTTATATAGGCATTGTTGTTCAACCATGAACTCGTTAATCAATGCACAAAAATAACCGACTTTTACTGCATCCTGTTAATTATTTAAAAGCTCAAGATTTCCAAAATAAATAAGGAACTTCAGCCTGTGGCGGTCAGTAGTGAAGTYGTTGAGCAATGAAATTTTTACTTCTTTGTATTTTCGTTCTTGCACCATCTGCTGCTGTTTCTAAAGGCAAACAAGGATACACTATCATGCGAAAAGCCCAAGCAGATGGTTCGCCTGATATTTTTTGGCTTCCTTCAACTATGTGCGATGATTCAGATTCACAATGCAAGTCATTTGAAGAATCTGCCTTCACTAGTTCTGGTGGTACATGTGAATGTATCTGTCCAAATGGATCAGCCACCTTTGGATTCCATAACGGGAGCTGGAATTGCATAGATAACAAAGTATTCAGGAAACAGGCAGGTTTGTTATTTAAAGCATGATTTCATTCCCTTTTTTGTTCGTAATCATGTGCTTTAGCTGAGGACACATCAAGCCGTGCAGAAAATCTAGCTAGTTAACATATTACCCATATATATATATTACAATTATACTATTTCTAATGTGAGATGTACCAGTTCCTTATCTAGCGTAAAATTTTCCTAGAATATCTAGCATGAATTTCCTGAATACTTTACACTTGAGCACATATTTATTATGGTATGGGAAAGCGTAATAAAATTATATTGGGCGTGTTGAATGGTCTCAAAACACTGCGACATTCCCAGGCATTGTGTGTGTGTGTGTGTGTGTGTGTGTTGTGTGTGTGTGTGTGTTGTGTGTGTGTGTGTGTGTTGTGTGTGTGTGTGTGTGTGCATACGTTTCATAGAGGTACTTAACAAAATCTCCCGCTAACTTATCATTAACTTTTGTCTTTGCGCCCAGTAGTTACAGTGATTCTTTTTAAAAGCTTGAAAAATCTCCGTAATTCTTGATTACATTCCAGATTGTAAATATAGATTTGAAAAAGAGCGTGACGACGGTGACTCTATTAAAGTATTGTCGGCAGGCTTCCCTTACGTCGTGTATCTTCCTTCTGGTCCGTGTTCGATCAGTTTGTTCAAATCAAGATACTTTCAGTGTAATGGCATATGGACTGGATTAAAGAGCTCGATATTCATGTCCCTAAATATATCAGATAATATGACTTTTCATGGGCATAGAAATGGAAGTTCAAGGCAATATACATTGAAGGTACAATTATTATTGTGCTTCGCGCCGTAACGAACACTTCCAAAAGTTTTAAATTTCCTTTTGAGATCTTTTTGATAGCTTTTTAATTGCGCTTTTTTACGCTAGCCATTCACGTATCGCCGCTTCACTTTGACGTTTCGATAGGTGGAGTATGTATATCATATCGAATCACTAATGTGAAGCGCAGATACCTAATTGGTTAAGGGCAAAAAGCCGATTAAAATTTGTCAAAAATGTTAAAAAGAAAAACAATTGTAGATGTGTTAGCGTTAAGGCGCGAAGCACAGTAGTTACTATGAATGACTACTCCTCCTGACCTTGGGGGACGTCAGTCCATATAGTATATCTCTTTATGATATCCATCAGGACATGATGTATATCCATCAGTACACTTGCTATCCATGATATCACCATTGCAGTACACTTGCTATCCAAGCCATCATCATTGCAGTACAAGCCAACATCATTGCATTACACTTATTATCCATGACATTATCATTGCAGTACACTTGACATCCATGACATCACCATTGCAGTGCACTTGCCATCCATGACATCACCATTGCAGTGCACTTGCCATCCATTACATCACCACTGCAGTACACTTGCCATCCATTACATCCTCATTGCAGTACAATTGCCATCCATGACATCACCATTGCAGTACACTTGCCATCCATGACATCATCAATATTTTTTTATAACCATGACATCACTGTCAATTACTTGCGCTTATCACTCAAGAGGTCTTTACTACGATATGAAATCATAACACTTTTTCTTTCACTTTTCTTTGCTACCATAACCTTTATTTAGGTTGGCAATGCAAGTTCTTTGACAGGAAGGATTGTCAGTCTTCAATTCAACTGTAGTGAACATTCACCATCTTCATCGCCTTGCCTTTTATTTAAGATCGCAGGAACAATAACATGTGAGCTCAGGAATTTATCAGGTCCTATATCTTTTACACAGTCCTCAACAAGGAGAAGCTATTCTTCATCATTTTCACAACCTTCAGCGAAGCTTACCAAGGTAGCACACTAATCCTTAAACGACTTACTATTCCAGAGAATATATTCTCGTAAATCATCAAAATACCTATTTGCCTATATATATCGTTTAATTTATAATTTTAAAGCTAAATTTAATTTGACATTTTTATATCAAAGAAGCCCTACAAAACATTTTCTAAAGCATCTTTGTTGATGTTGTCGTTGTTTTTATTTTTATTGTTGAGTTGTTGTAGTTGAACGATTTCTTAAAAAAAAAAAACAAGAAGTTCATAAATTTTTGAAATCTAGTAGTTTAATTATCGATTCTCTAATTTATGCCTTAATTTTGATGTTTTTTATTATTCTTTTCTTAAGTCAACAGTTTTGTTAAGTCATAATGAGGAGTGGAGGAACAGTGGAGGAGTATCACCACTAGAAACAGGAACAATTACAGCTGCTGTCATTATTGTAGTCCTCGTCATTACCATCACTGGGGTTATAATCTGGAAGAAAAAAAGGTAACGTTAAACAAATTATGTTATGTACAAACTAATTTTTAGTATTATTCATTATCATAGCAATAAGGTAATGGTATTTGAAAAAGGCTCCATATACATTTATTGCAAATAATGAAAGTCAGAGTAATGCAATCAACCACAAAACATCATAGCTTAATGGCGAACATTTTTCTTTTCAGGGGAGAAAATGTGTGGTGTAAGGAGAGAATCGCAACCACAGGTACAAACTTTATTCAGTTTTAAACACTAATAAAGTCAGATTATATTTACGATTATTACTAAAGATTATAAACTAATAGAAATATAAGAATATTGCAAATACTAGCTATAGACCGTCTACAGCACGTCGTAATGCAGCTCAATTTGGAGGACATATCAATAGGTTTCCAATTCTTAGATTAAAATTCTATTGTTTTGTCTTCAAAATTGAGCTGCTYTGACGTCAAATGCAAGGGGTCGTTTATACCACATTGACGTGTGTTGGTAACGAAGGGAATATGAACTTTCGAGTTGCTCATCAAAAGGAACACACAGATCTTATTAAAAATTTTAGGGTGGAATACCGGTGGATATTTTTTCGAGTCTCCGGGCTCGCCAAAATTCAAAGACGAGAAAAATGTGCACTCTTATTCCACCCAATTTATCATGCAATTGAGCTTACCTGTTCCCAAAAAGAAAGCTTTAACACGAATATTCTTCAAAAAACTAGTTTTCCAAACCGGTTTTTTACTGTAAAAATATGACAAAATATCGCAGGATATATCGCAGGATATTTGTACTCACTCCAGGCTTTGTCCTACGATATTTGTACTATAACTTGAATGGTTGGCTAATAAATTTGGTTTCTTTAAAATTCATCTTTGTACAAATTCTATTACATGTTTCTCTTTTTTACCAAGTACAAATAATTTGTTTCTGGTTAGCTAAGGAAGAAAGTGACGAAGGAGAGCCGACCAACGATCCGATCTACGATCAACCCCTACAGTTTAGACCGATTCACGCTGTAACAAGAGGTAACTAAGGTTTTTTTTCTTTTTGTTTGTTTGCTTGTTTGTTATGACGTGATTGAATTTGAAACGTCTCTGTAATTTTCAACAAGCCGACTTTCATTTGTAGGAACCACCAACAATGGTTGCGAGGACCGAGACTCAAGATACGTCTCTAACGACCAACTGAACGCAAACTTTTACCGTACGGTAACTATTTGTGCAATGAGAAAAAGTGGGTYGCTCAAAAATGATAAGGAAGAGCAAGGGACGCGTCCAGCCTCATCCTCATCGTCTTTATATATCACACTCCAGGATCTACAAACTGCACAACAAGAGGAGGGCCACGAGCAAGATAATCCACGTGATTCTGTCGTTAGTGCAGAGAAATTATTGACTGAACGCGATGGGTATTTGGTGCCTCACCTATATACAACACAATTAAAGCCAAACTAACTGCCCCAAAACGAACAATGATACAGCAGATAATGAACCTTGAGTAAAACTTCGGCTTGCGATCATTAATAATTGATTACTGAGAATGAAGAGTAGCCTTTGGATGTGAAGTCTCGTACATCTGTTCAAGATTAAAAGAAGTTGTTAAGGCCACGTCCACACGTATCCAATGTTCGCGTCCACACGTATCCGTTTTCGTAAAATTTGCGGATACGGACACAAAAATTTGCGGGCACGTGTGGACGCAACCCGTCCGTAAAAATAAATTTGCGGATACAAAAATTTCCGGATACGTGTGGACGGGGGGGCCTAAGATGTTAAAAAATTAGCCAGAAACGAGAGGAGAAAGTGAGGAGAAGGTGTTGTCATGACGACTAGACTGGATAGAGACTAAACTGATTGTTAAATCTGCAACTCGTTTGGATTATTAAAATCGATATTTGGTATTCGCGCTTTAGACCAAATGTCGAGACTGAGAATATTAATTAATTTAATATAAAAGGTCATATGAAAATTTTCTGCCATGCTGGATGTCAGATGTGATTGTGAGCCGCAATTAAGCCGACGTTCATTCCGCCATACTTGGATCTATATGTTCATCATTACATTTTACGCATGCGCATTGCATTGTTAATTAAGCGTACTGAGTCAGATTTGACATCTAAAATGGCGTTACAATTATCCCGCTGCAATAGTATTCGAGGCTTAGCTCAAATAAGTTATAAAAATGTTATTGCCGTGCCGCTTGTTTGCCTTAGTCCACATGATTATGACGATATATACACTTGTAAATCAAGTGCTATCTTTCATCTACTTGACTTCTAAAGCAATATAATGACATTCCAATCATTTTGAAACGATCTTATTATAGATCCGACTAAGAACTGGACTTTCCTTGCTAAAAATAAATACAGGAGGTTCTGACCAGCTTTTTTTAATCAGTTATCTTTAGTTATACATTGGATTTTTAAATAATTCAAGTTTTTTTAGACAGTTGAGAAATTTGATTCGTTTAAGATTAAATTAAAGTTTTACCTAGTTAAGAGGAATATATATATATATATATATATATCATGTAAGTAAACATTACGCCATGAAGCTAATTTGGTATATTATTGTTGATACTTGATGCAGAAATTAAGACCGGAACATATATAAGATCTAAACTATATAGCTTAATTACTTAAGAGGGGTAGTCCGTAAATGTCACCTGAGGAGTGCAGAATGCGAAAAATCGAAATCGTTCAAATTTTGTCAGAATATAGGCCTTAGTGAACTAAAACTGTTGTGTAAGTTTTTCTTCGATCGGTTAAATATTTTAGGAGAACCGCGCCGAAATCCATTTTTCAGGATCACTTCCGGTTTCTGCACGCGATTTCACCCCATTCCAAAAAGCCCTAAAAATCACAAAATTCCTTTGAATTTCTACAACAAACGATATGATTTCGTAATTTTGGGATACTAAACCTCATTTAGGTGGATTTATCAATCACTTTGCATAAAACAAAAATATTTTATCGATTTTTACATTATTTTCAATATTTTGAGCAATTTTTCTTACCCTACATTGCAAGGTCAATATCTCTAATGGTACATCGATTTACACAAATTAACTA